CTCTAACGGGTTAATGTATTGGATACATCATTCCGGTGGGGTTTTAATGGACTATTGGTTTCAGTAAGTGGTGGAGTGCAATAAAAAGTTATGGGTGATTTAAGAAATATTGGGGGAGCCTTGTCACCCCATAACTCCCTATAACTCTATGTTATCTCCACAACTAGCTAAAAGTAATAGTCCATTAGAACCCTATCGGAATAATGTATCCAATACATTACCCCGTTAGAGTTTTTAAGTACCTTTCAGGGGGTGAGTGTAATTATCGATACCACAGAGACCTTACTGTTATTTAAGCTTACCTCAGGGGTGTGGGTGTAATTTACCCTTTTATTTACTTTTGATTGTTCTCTTTTACGTTGTACCGCCTTACAGCCATATACAATGAACCTACATGAAGCATAAATTGAAGTATGGAGGCCTGTGAGCGGATCGCTTGTCGCGTTATTGAACTTAGATTATCAATTTGGTATGTTGGAATTTACAATTCATTGTTTTAATGTTGAAGATACCTTCTTCTTGTCATTCGATTTGGCGTGAAATTTAGCCTCCGGTTAATTTATTGGAAGCATTTGTATGAGCTTGTACACAATTTCTACCTTGGTTTCTTTTATATGTTTTGAGGCTTTGTGTAATAGTTGTTTTTTCAACATTTGAACTGGATTTTATTCTTCATTATAGGGGTACTCTTTTCCTTGTGTTAGGCCCATAAGGTTTTTAACGAGGTCCCTTTGTATTTTTTTTTTTTCTATATGGAATAAAATCTATTTTGGCAAAAAAAAAAAAAAAAGAGACTCAAAGATTGTAATATTGTGCCTTTATTTAAATCTTAAATCATTTTGATGTTGTGCTTCAGTTTAATTGATTTCGTTGAGACCCAACCGCTCGATACGACAAATCTTGAAAAGCTCCTAAATGATGAAACATCACGAATTTATGATTTGTTTGACGAAATCGATATTTGTTGTGAAATATTTCCATTGAACCAAAAAGATTCCGTCAAAATTCACACCATAAGGGGATTGCGTAAGACGGCTACAAACTTCAAGGGAGTTTTGGTCATTACGGATACGTGAGGTTTTTTTTTTTCTTTCGTAAATTTTTTTCATCTAATAAGTAATCAGATAAGCGTTCATACATAGATATAAAATCTAATTATCATTTTTATTAGTGGCAGTATAGAACAATGCCATGTGTGGTAGTATTGAAATTTTACAATATTAAATTGATCAAAGAAAAGTTTCAAAAGTAGCACGAAAAAAATTATTTTTCGTTAATTCATTTTTCGCTTGTATCAATTCTGTTTGATTGAAGCGTAAAGTAATTCACCTAGCACCGTTTATTATATTTCGGACGGGATTCCTCTGTTTCATCAGGATAAGCTAATTGAAATACTGAATTGTGTCAGCCTTTTATGTATCTGTTTATTAGTCTAAACAAAATTGACTTGTGTAGTTGAAATATTAGTTGCTGTACAATCAAAATCAATTCGAACACTCATTTTGTAACACATTGCATTTTCGGTAAAATAATATTATTTTATTTTACCACCTTTATGTGCATATTTGTGAACTTAAAGTTTATAATGATTCTTGCATGATTAGTATTTACGTAAATTAGGTGATTATATGGAATATATGATTATGTGAATTATTGTATGAATTATGTGATTATGTGAATTTTGTGATTATGTGAAATATATGATTATGTGAATTATGTGCTTAGGAAATATTTTGAGATATTATTTCTCGAATTATTTTTCATGAATTATGATTTTATTCTTGCATATGAATTTAAGTGAGCATTTTATCATATTTATGCATGCACAAAATTTTAGAAAATAAATTTTCTCATGCATTTTAGGATTTTTAATTAGTGTAGAAAATTAGAAAATCCTCCCTCATTTTTCTTAAATTTTCGGACATCAATACACACACACATGATTTAAAAAATTTGCATATTAATTAGAGAAGACATGCATTAGTGTGGTTGTACTTTGAGCATAGAATAAAATACCCAAGCCTAGTCCCGTACCCTCTAGCTAGGCATGTTTTTTCACTCCCACACTCAACTTTAAGTAGACCAAGTCTTTCTTCTTCTCCCGTCCTTCTTCATTTCGGCAGCCACACCCCACCACCTTCTCAAGCTTGAACCACCCAAGAACCACCACCACTCCTATTTTCGAAAATTGCAAAATCACCCCCACAAAAAAATGTATTTCCCTTTCTTCTCCATTGGCTTTGAACTCTCCAAAAACTCTATAAATACATCCAATGCCCAAGATCAAAATACACTCTCCACCACCAATCTCACTATCTATAAGTTTAAGGTCTCCTTCTATTTCAACAAAAGGAGAATTTTCGGCCAAGCTTAGGAGTAAGCTTCTTCTTCCTCTTCTTTCTTCTTTTTTTTTCTTCGAAAAAAAGAGCCAAGCTCTTCTTCATCCAAGTTCTTCTTGTTCTTCGTCTTCTTTTCTTAATATATAATCTAACTCTTGATCTCTTCTTGTATTAGAGAGAGAAAAGCGAACAATTCCTTCCCCTAAAGAGTAGAGGTGAGAATTCTTGCTCAAACATGCAACACCACTAGTATTTTCGGTTTTTATGTGATTTATTTGTTGATTCTTGCATATTATGAGATTATATGGCTTAGATGGTGATTGCATGTTAGTATTTTGAAAAGATAACTTTGTTCTTGAAGTTTTATACTTTTTCGAATATTTTGGAAAAAAATGCTTAATTTGCTTATTTGGCTTAATTAGTGCCTTGCATGTGTTAATCTAGTGTTTGATTGTTGATTTGTGAAAAGAAAATGAATTTTTGGCCTAGCCATGAAACTTTCGAATTTTTGGGGGAAAAATGCTTAAATTGCTTATTTGGCTTAATTAGTGCCTTGCATGTGTTAATCTAGTGTTTGATTGTTGGTTTGTGAAAAGAAATTTATTTTTGGCTTAACTATGGAACTTTCGAATTTTTGAGGTAAAATGTTAAAATTGCTTATTTGGTTTAGTTGATATCTTGCATGTGTTGATCTTGTGTTGATTGTTGTTTTAAGGCCTTGCATGTTAAGATTTGGTGATTGATTGTTGATCTAAGGTCTTGCATGTTAAGATCTTTGCATGTTAAGATCTAGTGATTGATGGTTGATCTAAAGCCTTGCATGTTAAGATCTAGTGTTTCTATGAAAAATGATGAAAGAACTAAGAATTTGTGCTAACTTGATTTAAAATACTCTTGCATGTGAAGATCTAGTGTATTTACTTGAATAAATGTAAAGATGGAAGTCTTGAATTTTATTCTTGTAAAAATGTTAGATTTAATGAATTTTTGAATATAAATTGTCTTTGCATGTTAAAAATTTCGGTTACTTTTATGTTTTTATGGCTAAATGATTTTGTGAAACTTTATTTGTAATTTTCTATGTGTTCTTGCTTGCTTATGTGTTGATCATTGGGTGTGAGGATGAAAGAAGGGTAAGTAGAAGGGTGCATTTGTGGGAGCATTAGTGTCATGAATTTTTAAAAGGTAAAAATATGATGGAAAGTCTTTCGAGGTTACGGTAAATATCCCCGGTAAGCCGAGTCGGTACCGTAGGGTCTAAGGGTGGTTTGATTCCACGTAGATAGACGGATTCGAAAAATATGAGGTTATTTACCGGGAACATAGATTGATTCTTCCGAAGGGATTCCCGATGATTTTTCATGTCATGCATGTTGCATTATGGTGTTTAGGATATAGATGGGAAATTCTCACTCTATGGTCTTGGGATCGTAGGGTTATAAAGGTGGGAGGTTCTCATCCTATAATCTTCAATACGTGTCATGGCATAGGGTTATAAATGTGGAATATTTTCACTCTATGCGTGTGACAATTATGTGATGAAGAACTCCGACGAAAAAGGGAAGTATATGATTGCTTTAATTTATATTGCATGTATAAGATATATGTGTGTGTGTGTGTGTGTGTGTGTCTATATATATATATATATATATATATATATATATATATATATATATATATATATATATATATATATATATATATATATATATATATATATATATATATACACACACACACACATACACACACACACATACACACATATATATATATATATATACATATATATATATATATATATACACACACATACACACACACACACACACACACACACACACATACACACACACACACACACACACACACATATACAAACTCTCTTCTTCTTTCTCTCTTCACTCGTTCTACTTATCTACGCTCACACAGTGACACACACATACATATACACACACACACAGAGAGAGAGAGAGATGATGATGATATATATATATATATATATATATATATATATATATATATATATATATATATATATATATATATATATATATATATATATATATATATATATATGCTCTATGTGTTATGTGTATTCGATAATACTTCAAGGTTCTCATTGAGTCCTCAAAGGCTCATATAGGTGTTGTATGCTTGTAGGTATACCCGATTTGGATCCCGAGGAGTGAAGATGGGAATCGAGCTCGAGAATCGGGAGGAGATCGTATGGAGGGGTTGTGGATTGTGTTGACTCTTAACTTAGTTATGTGGTTTTATTTGTATAATATGCTTGTAAAAACTTTTGATACGGTTTTAGGTATTTTTTACCGTTCGCTTCCTCCGATATGTGGAAATTATTAAAAGACAATATGTGTAATAGTAATTAGGATTACCCCATTTTGGATATTTAATCGGTAACCCGTAGTATTTTGTAACCGGAAGCGAATTTTAATATCTATATGCATGTACGCTTTTCGGCTAGTAACCTCTTAGTGTTTTGTCTCGATGTTTGAAAATTATTGCATATAGGTGCTCTGCTTAGAAAATCATGAAATTTTAGGTGTCTCTGCATCTCTCTGTTCTCATCATTTTGATAGCTCTTTTGCATGATTTGGGTAAGTATTTAATTAGTTATGATTTATTTCTCACTACTGCACTGAAAGAGTCATTCGGGTGTTTTCTGGTATAGCTGGAGTTTTACTCACTCAAATGCCTCGTTTCCACTTGGAAAATGTTTTTGACTTATTTTCTGCATTGGGGTAAAATTTGGTAGTTTTTGGATCAGTGAGGAATTTATTACGAATTTTCAAAACTCCTCAAAATTGAGTGACTGTGCCATTTTATTTATTTCTCCCAAATGGCCAAGCATCCTTCAAAACTATTTTAACTGAGTGATTTAGACCCATTTTAGATGGTATGGTATTATTTTGGGGTTATTTTCATGTATAGTTTAAGAGGAATTAATTCTTAAAGTCTCTGCACTAAATCTGCCCGAACTTGCATGTAGCATGTATTTGTGTTAATTGATTGATTAGGGTTTAGTATAGTGTGACCTCTCTCCCTCTGATTTAAAAAGAATTTTTTTTACGTAAATTTATATCCACAATAATCATTTTTAAAAAGTCTTCCGCTGAGATTACATATTATAAGAGTAATTGAGAGAGGGGTGCCACACATTTACCGCAAATAGATCACGCATTCGTGATCGTTCATCATTTGCAAACCTTTCAAGATTTGTAGAATTAATCCAGCAGTTGGATCTCGATTGAACAATTAAATTCCAAATAAACTTGAACATTTGAAGAAACTACAAATTTCTCTCGCACACTAAAGTGAAATTACACAAATGCTCACACAAATGCTTGACAAGTTCACAAA